CACCAAACCACAGCATACCACCCGCAAACCAACGGGATGTGCGAGCAGTTTCACGAGTCACTCAAGGCCGCTCTCTGCGGTTCTCTTACGGGTTTGCGCTGCGCGGTTAGGGAAGACCTCTGGGATTCTCCAGCTGAACTGTCCGCTCCGGGATCCTGGGGAATTCATGCCTGCGAGCCCCCCCTGCTTCGTGTTTCAATACCTCTATGCTGTCTCTCCGTCCCACCAGAGACTCGTTTTGCATTCCCGGTGCACCATTGCCTGCCCGACCCTATTGTTCTGTTCGACGGCCCGTTCAGGGTTATTCAACCAGGCCGAAGCCTTTCCTTTTTGGACTTTGGAAGTCGGCAGGAGGTTGTTCCTATTGATAGACTTAAGCCTGCACATGTCCTGCTGATGATCAAGTGGTGCCGGCCCAGGCCCTCTTCCGCAGCTGTCCGCCTACCACCGGGCTGACAGACTTTGATTTTTCCTGCAGGAGTGCCCCCCACCCGGCAGAGCTTGAGCTGTCTGCAGCTTTTCCTGACCGCCAGTGCCAGCCTTGTCCACAGGCATCCTTAAAACAAAAGAACTCATAATGCAGGAGGCGCAGACAGGTCCACTCTCTTCTCATTATAAATGGAGAATGGGTGGAATCAGTCTCCACATTCAGGTTTCTGGGCGACTCTGCCCTTTAAAGGAGGCTCAACAATGGCTGCACTTCCTGTCCTGAGGAAGAATAACCTGGACTGGAAGCTGGTGCTGGCCTTCTACCGCTCCTGAGTGGAGAGCGTGCTCTCCTACTGCCTGGGCTGAACTCTGCCACCCGTAGACCATCGACAGATCATCCTGTCTCAGAAAAACATGCAGCCATAACTTCATTGTACATGTAGAATGACAATAAAGGGCTATTCTATTCTATTCTATTCTATTCTATTCTATTCTATTCTAAACCTTGAAGGCTTTGCCTCCCGTTCTACTTTTAAATCCTAGGAACTACAAGTAAGCCCGCTGACTGCTGCCCATTTTCTGAGTTGTTATATTTTAAGTTAGATATACAGTTCAGTTCATGACTTGCTAATCGCTACATTCTGTTTTTATTCACATTACTGACAGCATCCCAACATTTTTGGAAATGGGATTCTGATTCTTTTAAACCAACTATTCCCAAAACTTGCATTGTGGCCCACCGGTGGGATCTGAAGGTAGTGTGGAAGAGCAGTGAGACGTTATTTACAATAATTAGTTGCATAAAAAAACTGAAAACACACAAAGCAAACACTTGATCTTTGGTGTGTGTAACGATCAAGTTCTGATCAAATGATGTTCATAGGCTACAATGGTCTTTAGTTTGGGAATGGCTGCTTTTTAAACATTTAAATTAGCTTTAGGCTGTGTTTCCAAGTAGTTTCTGGTTTGTTTGTTTGTTTTCTGTTTGCAGAAATCTATCTCCAGTACTCATTTAACAGACTAATCAGCATTACACCAGAGTCCAGGTAAGGCCAGCCTTAAAATTGATTTATTTAATTTAGTCATAAT